CATCCTTCTCTGGACCAGCCGGTACTTGCGTCGACACGAAGTAGAATAGACCCGGGTATCGATCGTCGCTCGGGTCCTTGTCGTTGTCTCCGCTCTTCATGTTTGCAGCTCCGCCACCGCGACCGCCACGGCCTCCACGGCCTCGTCCTCTCCCTCCTCCTGCTCCTCTACCCTCTTGGCCTTGAGCAGGGGTCCAACCATCAGGGAGTTTGTAGCAGTCGCGCCACATGTGTCCGCTCTTGTGGCAATAGTGACACTCGCCGTCGAATCGGCCGCGACCGCGTCCGTAGCTCTTGTCGTCGCTGCCGTAACCGCCACTCCTGCGGCCTCCGCCGAAGTTGCTGCCACCAAACCTTCCTCCCCCTCGTCCTCTGCCTCTTCCTCGACCATATCCACGGCCGATGCTCGCTGCCCCAGCGCCATCCGCACTCGCCAACTCACGGCGGCGGAAATCCTCTTGAAGGATAGCTCGCTTCACGTCTTCAAGCGAGAGGCGGGGCAAGTCGCGATTAAGGTTGATGATGAGCGAGGACCATGACTCTGGGAGTAAGGCCAGCAACTTGGTCTTCTTTTGGAGCTCACTGTAGTTCAAATCAGCTCCCTCAAGCCGCGTCAACAAGTCGAAGAATTTCTGCACCCCTTCTTCAACCGCTTCGTTTTCTTCAATTCGTAGTGCCGCCATTTGCCGTTCCAACACCACCGCTACCGCCGCTGTTGCAGGAGCATGTACACCCTTGAGAGCAGCCCATGCCTTTGGTCCTTTCTCTGGTTCACGCTGGAATGGCTTGATGTGACGGATCTGACTGCTCCCCAACGCTTGCCCAAGTAAGAGATAGCCTTGTGCGCTCTTCCGCACCCACGGGCTCTTCTCCGGGTCGTTCTCGGGGCGCTTCTCCGTTCCTTCCATCACCTCCAGCAGGTCATAGTGGTCAAAGATGTTCTCCATCTTGAAGGACCATTCAGCAAAGTTGTCACCGTTGAACTTGTCAAGCCCAAACACCCTAGGCTCATCCCTAGGTGGGCCAAGACTTGGTTGCATGGGCGCCATGGCTGAATCACGGGGTTGGCCTTGAGCTTGAGCTTCTCCACTGCCACCAGCACCTCTGCCACCCCTTTCCTCAGGTCCAGACATTGTCGAAACTGCTCCAAGGGCCTCTGATACCACTTGTTATCGTCACAATAGGCTTGAATGTGCCTAAAACGAAAGATAGAGAGCACAGACGGATTTCTGCACAGCGGCTTCAAACGTTGATAGCGTTCTGCTCACAGCTGCAAATGACTTGATTCAAATTGGATCTGGAGCGTCTTCACGTCGTCTACAATTAGCAATTTAGATTGCACGATTTGATAAAGAACTGACGACACTGCGTCAGTTTGAACGAACGGTACTATGGCAGCCACTATAGTCTTAGAACACAAGATAGGAAGAGTTACGAGTTGGGAATGACTCCCAGCTCCTACAAACCCCAAGAGCCGAGGTACAGTGATGTGGAACAGTGCCACACTGTCCCCAACCACGAAGGGTCTCGAAACTACCCTTCACTAGGGCCTACACCAAGTGAAATGTTACACTACACAAAGTAATGTAACTATCTTCAATATCTTGAGGTGTACCCTTTTGGCAAGCTTCGAAATCACTTGAGGCTTGACACCAAGGCTCGGGCTCTTCATCACAAACTCATCCTTGAGTTCTTGATGGGTCTGCTGCACACACCTGCGACACGCCGAACGTTCGACACAGGACAAAATAGAAACCGCGCACGACAAAATAGAAACCGCGCGCGAGACACAAACGACCGCGTAACACGCGTCTAGCGATAACTCGCTATTGACTCGACACACACACTCGACATCATGACTCAACATTCACACACAATTATAAGCATGAAATATATATTATCCCATGCCCTCATACCATTCCATACACACACACATTCACGCACACGGACAACAAGCCGAGTGCAAACCGTAGGGTTGCACCAACAATTGGGTTGTACTCACTATGGAGTACCCCACTGCAGGCTAGACAATTATAACATTCTGACACCGTGCCGTCCGGCTGCACAACTTGCTTTCATCTCGGAGCCTCAAGAACAACACCTCTCCCTACAAGGCTTGGATGGGCAGAAAAGCATACTCACGCCTGCTTCGGGTCTTTGGCTGCATGGTACAGTACAAGCCTCGTACGGCAAGAACGGAAAAAATCGCTGACCGGGCGCGCTGGGGCATTCACCTGGGGATCGCAAAAAGGAATACAAAGTGTGGATCGTGCTGGACTACGGGACACACGAAGTGACTAGATCACGTGACTGCATCTTCTACGAGAAGCTGACTCTGCCACTGTTCAAGAAATACCACGAAGATGACAAGGAAACGGAAAGGGTTTACAATGGACACCGCAGCTTTGCCACGTCACAAGATGAGGCTGATATGGCAGAGGATGCAGATGCAACAGACAACACACCATTCGACTCTTTTACAACATCCCCTTTACAAGCCCATTTAAGACTGGGAGACATCCATGGCAGCAGAAGTAGCAGCATTAAAGCGCCGCGAGACTTGGAAGCTCGTTCCCCGATCATTTGCAAAGGGGAGGAAGATATACAGCGGGAAATGGGCCTTCCGGAATAAAACCCTCGCGGACGGCGCAATCGACAAATACAAATCAAGATGGGTGGTGCGCGGCTTCGAGCAAGCTCACATGGTGGATTACGACCAGACCTTCGCGCCCGTCGGACGGCGCACCTCGGTCCGCATCCGCATACGCATTGCAGCCGTCAATCAGCGTACGCTCCGACATATCAACGTGGGAAGTACGTTCCTTTACGCACATGTCGACGCCATTACCTTCGTCGAGCCTTCAAAAAAAGCGACGGCGCCGTCTGCCTCCTCCAAAAATCCCTCTACGGCATCAAACAAGCGCCTCGCCTGTGGAACTAGTACCTGCACATCGTTCTCACTGTGCTTGTATTCGTTCAGCTACCTCACGATCAGGGCATATACCGAAAGGAATCACGTGGCAAATACATCCTCCTCGTTGCCTACGTCGACGACCTCCTCTATACCGGCGACGACACGGAGCTGCTTGACCGGTTCGAAGAGGAAATCAAGGAGGAGCTGGAAAAGACGATCAACCACAACGTCACACAATTCATGGGTCTCAACATTGCCCAGTCCGCCACCTCCATCCACCTCTCCGACGCTAAGTACGCGGAAACGCTTGCGAAGAAATTCGCAATTGCCCCGATCAACCTTACCATCCCCTTCCGCACTCCTCCTAATCACGAACCCGAAACCACACCACTCTCCGTCGAAGATCATAGGCTATATCAGCAGCAGCTGGGATGGCTCTTGTTCGCCGCCGTCATGTGCCGGCCAGATCTCTCCTACGTCGCAAGCCAGCTCGCACAGTACCTGCGCCGACCTAAAGGTGAGAATCTACTGGACCTACGCCGAGCACTTCAATATACACCTCTACACCTGACGTCGGACTCACCTACACAACCAACTTAACAGCTACTCTACAGCTTCATGGCTACATAGACGCAGACCACGCGGGATGCTGACAACCCGCTGGACTCATCTCCTGGGACTCCTAGAAGCAGGAACTCATCGCTCTTTCGTTACCCGAAGCTGAGTTCATCGCCGCCAGTGCAGCTCTTCGCGATGGAGCTCCTACAGGAAGCGAAATTGACGATGATCGGGCACTTCACGTTACTCAGCGACAACCAGAGTGCGATCAAAATCGCGAACAAACACGGCTTCGTAAACCGCACGAAGCACATCGCACTCCTTACTTCTTCGTCAAGGACGAGATTGATAAGGGCAAAGTCAAACTCACGTACTTCCCAACTGGTGACATGGCAGCTGATTTCCTGACGAAGAAACTGCCACGTCCAAAGTTCCAGCACTGCGCCGACCTCTGCAGGATCTTAAAGAAATCCCACGTGGCTCACCGTCAGGAATGAAGGGGAGTGTTGGAATAACCGAAAGGTTATTATGACATTCCTGAAGGCTCTTCCCTAGTACGCCACTTCATAACGAAGCAGCGCCACTGTACCAGTACCGCAATAGCTCATATAGAGCACGCGGCAGACAGAGAGTCACCCGAAGGTTCACAGTCGCTGTTGACCGCCCAGTAATCGTACTAGGAGGTTACACGATGCAACTCGGTAACTATCGAGTAGAGCAATAGTCGTGGTTATTATAGCAATGCAATTCAGTTAATAAGGGAATGTACCCCTCATAGTATATGGCTAGCTAGTTTGCTATTTTATGTCCTTAAACTCCTATCTTAAAATCGTCTTGTTCTCTTTCAACTATTATTAACAAGGTCGCTACAAGACTTGATTGTCATCCTATAACTTAGCAATTCTTATCATATCCATTACGATTCTCGGCTATATTAACAAAACGGAGCTCTGTGCATTCAGTGTTGGTGAAATGAAATCAGACTCGCGTTATATGGTTTTTGTTTTCGCATTTTTATATTCCTTCTTCTAAAGTGCGGTTTTTAACTGATCCCTTCCAAGTGGTAGCTTGGATTCACTTAACTATTCATACAGTTTTATTATGCTGGTACACTACTGATTTGTTGACGGAAACTGCTTATTTCGAGGAAACTTTTCCCGCCAAACTCCCTTCATACACGGCAGCCTCAAGGTGACGCTTTCCCCAAGGCCTCGGTTTTGGCACGCGTGCGGTCCCTACAGGCACCGTTCACAGCTCGGCTCGGGCTTGCACTGCAGAGAGACGAGTTCAGCAAGAAAGCAAGCAATGGGTCTCATCCCACAGCCTTTCCGCGACAGTCATCCAGATCCACGGTTGCGTGGATTGATCATGCTTCTCAGCTCTGCACCTCCAGAGTCAAACCAGAGCGTTGATGCTTGTCTTGGGACGAATAGTTCTCCTCACTGATTACCCTCCACCACCCTCGCACACCCGATCTCAGTGCCCTGTCCGCGAATCTCTCGCAGCGTCGCAGCTGATCGCGTGCGACCATGGCGAACACGCAGACGACGACAAGCTCGCACGTGTTCGCGCTGCTGCAGGAGCTGGGCAACCGCGTCGCGCCGTCCGCCGCCACCACGGCGACGGCGGTCACCGCCACGGCGGCCACGGCAGGCGCCACGCAGGCGGGCGACGGCGAGGAGGCGGCGGTGGTGGAGCGACGATTCCGCGAGGTGCTGCCGACGCTCGTGCACAAGCACTTGGTGCCGCGCCTCGGTAATGACGCCGTCCGCCGCCGTCACTACGCCCCGCTCTTTCTTATGAACCAAGATCCTCGTTATTGCCCTCCGTCTCGCTAACGGCCCCGGCGTTGGTTTCCTTACTTTCTTTCCCTCCCCTCCTCTCTTCCCTTCCTGCCCTCCCTTCCCTCCCTTCCCTCCCTTCCCGTCCCCGGCGAGTGGCAGTGCGAGATCGCGAGGTGCTGGCCATTCTGAAGCTGCTCATGCACATCGCGAGGAACTATCCCGGCACCTTCCTCCACGGCCATGCGCCCACCACGCTCCCCTTCATCGCGCGCGCGCTGGTGCTGCTGGGCGAGGCACCGCTCAGGTGAGCCGCTGTGCTGCTGGGCGAGGCACCGCACCGCTTAGGTGAGCCGCTCTGTTGCCTTGGAACGAATCAAGCCTGCCTTGTTGCGACGGTGCGTGCTCAGGCAATACAGTCCTTCCAGTCGTTCCTATGCCAGGGACCCACGAACCTTATATTTTTTGTTGAAGAGCGAGGGTGCGAGGCTTGTTCTGAGGCTGGTTGCATTGACGCGTGTGTGTGGTGCATGTCCTCTGTGCATGTCCCAGGTCGCGTGTGGCGTGCATCGTGGACGTGGTGTGGTCGCTGGCAGCACTCATGCGCTCCACCGATGAAACGGCCTTCTCCTACCTTGTCTCTGACGTGCGCACGCTCATTCAAGGTACACCACCACGTGCGACTGTGAGGATGATGTGCGAGTGATAATGTGAGGCCACCAATGCCCGTCTGGCTAACCCGTACAAGGTCTCGATTGCTGTGAGGCGATGCTTGGCGATGCTCGCTTGATGTGTTTCTTGTTGCATTAAGCTTTTGATCGTATGTTCCTCTGTCGAACCTGTGCTGTCGCTTTCTGTCAACTCCGACTGTGCAGACACAGCTGTAGTGGCGATGCAGCTGGGGAACAAGCAGGCGCATGGCAGCCCCAGCAAGGAACGAGGGTCGGTGCCCCCTGCACCACTGCACGCACTCCGCATGTCGTTCCACTATGCTGCATCCTTGCCTCACGCTCTCCGCAACCAGCGGCAGCAGCAGCAGCACGCACCCAGCGCCTCTTTGCTGTCAGATCTGCCCCCCGAGTGGGAACCAGGGGAGGAGCAGGGTCGTGGGGTGCTGCTTCACGTGGTTGCGGGGGACCGCTGGCAGGCTGCTGCTGAGTTCGGTGCGCTTTTCCTCTCACGCCTTGCCCGCGACCAACGTGCTGGGGACACCACGAGAAACAACACCAGCAGCAGCAGCACCAGCAGCAGCAGCACTGGCAGCATTGGGAGCAGCAAGCAGCTTGTGAGGCTGGTTGTTACGGCAGACTGTTATTCCGCACTGGGTGCTTTCCTGTGCTTTGGAAGCGCGCAACTACACAAGGTGGGCTGGGCTGTGCAACGTGTTATCAATCATGACGTCCTTTGGGCTGTTCAATCCGCTGCCTGTGACCATGTCATTCCTACCGTCATAATATGCCTGCATGTGCTACACCCACACACGTAAGCCGTGAAAGCCTCTGTGTGACTGTGTCCAACCAACCATGCACCACAACCTGCCCGTTCTCCCATGCCAACTCCGCCAGCTGTGCTTCTCCACCCTGCGGGACCTCATCAGCACCACTGGCACGCCTCCCCTGTGCGCGGACGAGCTGCTGCTCTCCCTCCTCACCATCCTCGCCACCTCCTCCTCGCACCCTCGCCTCCCCGCCTTCAGGTCTGTGCTCCCACACCCTCGTTTATTCAAAGCTGCCACTTTCTGATGTTACCAAATGCCGGGCCTAGCCCCCCGTCCTTCCTGTCAGCGCATGCCCATGCGAGCGTGTATGCATGAACCCCCCTGCACCGCTATCTCCCATCCCATTTATTTATCCCCATCAACCAGGACGGGCTGCTACGACCAGAGCCTGGCGGAGTGCCTGCACGCGCTCGCCTCTGCTGCCACGCACGGCACCCTGCGCGTGTGTGCATCACTGCTGCTCTCGCTCTTCCCACACGCCCTGCTGCACACCTCCTGCCTGCACCTGCAGGTGTGCCCTTACCTCTCACACCGCGTACAGCCCATCACCTTTCACCCGGTTCGCATGCAGGTTGCCTCAGTGAAGTAGTTTCGAGGTTCCACAAGTCCAAATGATTTTCTGATGCTGCTTTCCTCACACCCAATGGAATCCCTCTCACATCCCTCCCTCTCTTCCCCCCACTCGCTACCCACCCTCCCCTCCCGTGTCACCGATTGAACTGTCAGGTCGCTCTTTTGACCTGCCTGCGCCGCACCATTCCTCTCCTCCCGCCCTCACCTCCCCCCTGCTCCTCCGCACTAACTGCACCGGCTGACTCCTCCTCGCCCCACTCCCACCGCCTCCTGCTGAGCCTGCTCCCTCTCCTCGCGTCTCCCTCTCCAGTCAGCACGCCCCTCGCTGCGTGCCTCTCTCTGCTGCTGCGCCGCCACCCCGTGTTCCAGCACAAAGCCACGCTGCGTGCCCCTCGCCCTGCCACACTGAATGTGCCCATTGGCGAGCAGCCACGAGGGAATGAAGGCAGGGGGGCAGTGGGCGATGAGGAGAGGGGCGCGGGGGACAGCGCGGTAAAGGGGAAGAGGAAGAGAGGTGCGAGCAGTGCGATGGGGAGGAAAGGGGCGGAGGAGGAAGAGGGTGGGGAGGACGGGGAGGGGCGGGAGGCCGGGGGGAAGCAAGCGAGGGGGAGCGCCAAGAAGAGGCGCGGTGGGAAGAGTGCAGCGAGCAGGCGGAGGGGGTCAGGGGGCGGAGGGACGTCAGTGGGAGGGTTGGCAGAGGAGGCAGAGGAAATCGCAGGGGACGACGGGTTGAACCCAGCAGTGGCAGGTAGGGGAATGGCAGGGCATTTGGAGCAAGCAGCAAGGGCGGCAGAGGCGGGTGGTGTGCTGGAAGGCAGTGAGAGGTGTGGCGTGTCGTTGCATGGGGTGTTGGTGCAGGAGGAGGAGATGGCATCGCAGGTCCAGCAGCTGAGCGTTCCTGCGGCGTGTGGGTGGGGCGAGAGGCAGCTGCTGGCAGCGGTGGTGGAGAGAATCAGAGAGGCATGGCCGCCAGACTCCGCACTGGAGCTCCTTGACAGGCCGTACCCACGCAGTGCAGCTGCTGGTGCTGGCAGGGCCAAGGGAACCAACCCGCAGGACACGGAAGTCTCAGTCTTAGCAGGGATGTCAGCAGATGCGTTGGCGGGTGTGGAGGCGAGGCTGAGGGTTCTAGGTGTTATGTGCTGTGCGGTGCAGCGCCTGCCAGGCACCATCTGCTGGTGGGCCACGGCCAATGCACTGAGTGCGTGGATGGCATGGGCCTCCCCTCACATCACCACTGCTCATCTCACCACGCCACCACCTGCTGCTTGCAGTGCAGGGAAGGCAGGGGGTGAGGTGAGGCGCTGGAATGTGGCGCAGCTGCTGATTGACAGCGCTGCTCGCTTCCTTGCCACCCCGTGTCACAGCACCTCTGCCCTTGGAGAGAAAACCGCTGCTGTTGGTCCCGTCAGTGTCCGTGCTCTCCTGCCCTCTGCTCGCTTGCTGCTCACACATGCCTGTGTTGGTGATCGGGGGGGAAGGGGCAGCGGGGCGAGCAGCTTCATCACGGGCCTTTGTCAGGTCACTCTTCTGCCGTGGTCTCTTGGAAACCAGCACAGCTCTCACAGCAACAGCGTGCAAGGCGTGCAGGAACCTGTGGGAGCGCTCGAGCTTAGCAAACTGAATGCGCTTAGAGTATCAGGCGCAGTGCTGGCATGGCTGGTGGAAAGGCTTCAGAGCGAGGTGACGGTGACACGTGGAGCAGAGGGGGAGGAGAAGAGTGAGAAGGGGGACGAGGGAGAGCAGTCGGGGCGCAGTGCAGTGAAGCAAGGGCGGGCAGCAGAAGATGTGGTGGTAGGGGGATGGGCGACAGATGTGGTGAGCACTGTTAGCAAGGTGGTGCAGGGGGCGATGCAGGATGAGCATGCGGGCGTGCGCAGAGCAGCGGTGGAGCAGCTGCCCTTGCTTCTGTGGGCGGTCAAGGGGCTGTCACACCATGCCTCGATTAGCCCGCACACCACTGCTGCAGAAACAGGGAGGCACGGTGGGGGAAAGGGCGAGGGCGGCGCTGCGAGTGCGTGTGGGGGGTGGGGGCAGGAGTGGGTGGTGCCGCTGCTTAGGTGAGACCTTCTGCACGCCCTCTCCGCCTCGTGCATTCTGCTCCTTCATTCCTTCTTAACAACCAACCATGCCGCAGCATCTCACAGCTAATGTGTTTCCTGTGCGTGTGTATGTGCATGTGCCTGGGCATGTGTGCCTGTGCTTGTGTGTGTGTGTGTGTGTGTGTGTGTGTGTGTGTGTGTGTGTGTGTGTGTGTGTGTGTGTGTGTGTGTGTGTGTGTGTGTGTGTGTGTGTGTGTGTGCATGTGTGTGTGACCCCTCTGCCCCCCAGGAAGCTAGCAGCAGACAGCAGTGAGGAGGTGCAGGTCGCATGTGCGCGCGCCCTGGGACCTCTCCTCTGCGCCCTCTCTCTCTCCCCCCTGCCGCCACTGCCCCATCCTCGCACCCCTGCCTCCGCCCATACACCACTCCCCTCGTGCCCTGTCTGCTCTCACTTCCTCCACCCCCACACAAGCATAACCCCCACCAATGCGGGCGGCCCTCTGCCATGCAGCCCTACACCCCACAACACCATGAACCCAGCAGCACAGCAGGAGGCGCATGGGGAAAGCACGGCCCCCTGCGCCACTGCCCACAGCGGCCTCTCCATCCCCCCGCGCGACCTCTCAGCCATCATCCCGTGCTTCGCGCGCAACGACAGCCCCTCCTCTGTGAAAGCCGCCTTCGCCCTCTCCCTGCCGTCGCTGCTGCTGCACGCCTCCACTGCGCACCTGCTCGCCCTCAAGCCCACCCTCCTCGCGTCCCTCAACGCCCTCTCCTCCCACCCCCACTGCTCCGTGCGCTGGGCCTTCCGCCCCGCCATCCGCTGCTTCTTCCTGCCAGCTGTCGTCATGCCATTGTCTGGAGCAGCCAGTGGGGCGGCAGGGAACAAAGGGGGAGGGGAGGGCGGTGGCGCGGAGCGGGTGGAGGGGGGTTGGAGCGAGGAGGAGCGGCAGGATGCAGCGTTGAGGCTGCTGAAGAAGTTCAAGGGGCGGCTGCAGAGTGGCGATGACGATGTGCGGCGCAAGGAGGCCGTCATGGGCGCCGTGGGGGAGATTGTCGCCTGTGCTGCAGCCGACCCACAACTGCTCTTCTTCTCCTTCATCCTCCTGGTATCACGCCCTCACGCCCTCACTCCAACACTTGCTATCCTCCTCTCCCACCTCACCTTGCTGCTCTCGTCACCACCATCCTCTGCACACCACAACCCTGCGTCATCCACTTGTCTCCCACAAATGCTGCTGGTTATTTTGGAAATTCCGTTTTCTCATGCGTGATTTGATCATTCTTGCTGGCCAATCATGTCTTTCTTGTGGTTGATTAATGAATTGGCTGCTGTTGCACCTGCAATCACACTCCTGTACGCACGGTTTCCCACATCCATCTCCTCGTCCCATAACCTTCTTCCCATTCGCCTTGCTCTCCCCCTGCTCTCCTCGCCACTCGCCCTCTCCCCATGCCAGGTGGAGCAGCTGGATGCGGCGCACCTCTCCCTGCAGGCAGCAGCGGTCGCCACTCTCCGCTCCTCCTGCCACCTCCTCACGCACCCCCACCACCGCACCCCCGCACCAAACACTGGTTCTGCCAGCGTGCCATCGCACTTGCCCTGCACAGCAGGCGCAGCAGAGGGGGCAGCGGACGCAGGTCCCGCAGGTGGTGGCAGTGCGATGGGAGAGAGCAGTGAGGGGAGTGTGTGGGCGGTGGTGCAGCGCATCCAGGAGGATCTCTTTGACTACCTCGCTGCCCGCCTTGTCACCCGCCCTGCCCTCGTTCACGCCTTTGCACGCGACGTGCTGGGGTGGGACGTGGAGCAGCTTGTAACGAGGATGCTGCCGGTGGTGCTGCCCAGCAAGGTGCTGGAGGCGGCAGTGGAGGAGGCGGGGGGCGGGTCACCGCAGCCGACGCATGGAGATGCCACGGATGCCAAGGTAAGGCGCATGGAGAGGAATTCGAGCGTGAATGTGCAGGTGTGCAGGGGATGGGGGAGGGATGGGGCTGGTCTGCGTGGCTGTGGAGCAGCAGCATGTCGGCACCATCCATTGCCATCACTCCTTCTCTTGCGCTTCGCCTCTGCGTCTCCCTCTCTGCTGTTCGTCCCCTGCGCAGGCGCTGGCAGTGCTGCAGGCGATAGCACGGGCAGAGGGCACGGAGCTAGCGCTGCTGCTGATGATGTGGGCGCATAAGTTCCTGGCGCGCCTGCTGCTGTGCACGGACAGCCACAGCCTGCTGCTGCTGCTGCACTTCTATGAGGCGCACACGGGCCTGTCGCCCCAGGACGTGTTTGCGGGCATCACAGGGCCGCTGCTGGAGGAGATGTGCTGGTTCCTGGGCGACCACAGCAGCGAACTTGCGCTCAAACGGTGTGCGCCCTGCCTTGCCTTGCTCCCTTCCCATGTTCTGTCTGACATGCAAGGAGCTGTCGCCTGACAACTATGGCCGCGTTGCCTTGGCAGCCATTTCACTCCATCCGCCTTGCACCACACGCGATTGTCGTCCTGCACTGCACGCACTACTGCTCTGCTTGCTCCGTCCTTGTTTCCCCTCACAGGCGAAGCCTGACATGAACCACAAGTTCTGTTCCCCCCTCGTGTCCGTTATGCTGCATGTGCATGGCAGGGCAAGCCGAGTGTTCCCGACGGTGAGGGAGCTGGTGGCGCTGACAACAGGCAGCGAGGCTACAGAGGAGAGGGCAGCGGACTTCCTGTGCGCACACCTCATGCGCATCCTCAACGCCCTCCACCGCTCCTCACTGCGCCTGCGCTCCAACCCACCCCGGCAAGAGCAGGCCCTGAGGGTGATCGGGCAGCTGGCCAAGCTGGCAGGGCCCAAGCGCCTGCCTGCGTTTGCGCCCAAGATGTTTGCGCTGCTGGCGGTGGGCGTGGAGCAGGGGCAGGCGGAGAGTGTGCGTAGCACAGGGCTGGACGTGTGGCTGGGGTTCGTGCACACGCTGGCGGAGTATGCACCGGGCGTGCTCAGGAGCATGTGCTCTCAGATCGCCGTCGCGCTGCTGCCCTGCTTGGAAGGCCCTGAAGGGGGCTTGGGAGACGAGTGGGCAGGGGGGGGGAGCAGAACGGTGGAGGAGGGGGACGAGGCTGGGGATGCGGAGCAGGGGAAGGGGAAGAGCTGGGATGGGTATTCGCGGGGCAAGCGGGTGGGCAGGAGCAGTGAGGGTAAGAGCGGTGCGGTGACCGGGGGGGGGTTGTCGGAGAAGGAGGTGAAGGAGCTGGCGATGACACAGCGGGCAGTGAGGGCAGCGCAGGGCGAGGAGATGCTGCGGCCGCACCTGCAGAAAGCTGCTGCGGTGTTCCGGGCACTCGTGATTGAGCACGGCGCCATCCTGGGCTCTCACCTGCGCGCCCTGCCACTACTCCCCGATCTGGAGGCGCTGCGAGGCGTGAACGGCGTGATTCAGGAGGCGAGGGGGCGGCTGGGCGTGCGGGAGAAGGTGCTGCTGACAGTGGCGGGGCTGGGGCACGAGTCCATCAGCGTGCGGCTGGTGGCAGCGGAGGGCATGAAGCGGCTGCTGCAGGAGCATGGCGGTGCGGTCAGTGCCATGCTGGTGAGCGAGCGAGAGGCAGACAGGGAGGCCGTGTGTGCGGGCGTGGCAGCACTGCTGGCGGGCAGTGCGGAGGAGTCGAAGACTGTGACGAGCCACTTGCTGAAGCTCGCCTGTGCTGAGTGCCTGGGCGAGCTAGGCGCTGTGGACCCTGCTAGGCTCTCCACTTCAGGGGGGGTCAAGGCCGCCATGCTGCACGCACACACAGGGCCACAGCAGGCGCAGCAGCAGCAGGGTGTGGGGCAGGGGTGTGCGTCTGCGTGTGCACTGATGGTTGCGTGCGATGATGAAGAGCTAGCAGCGGATCTGATTTCGCTGCATCTCGCTCGTGTGGTGCGTGCCGCCACGGACGCGGATGTGCAGGACGCCGCTGCGTGCGCCATCCAGGAGATGCTGCGCGTGTTCGGGTGCCGGCGCAGCCGCCAGGAGGAGGAGGGTGATGAGGAGGAGGAGAGGCGAGGGGAGGCTGGCACGGCGGAAGCAGCGGCAGAGAGGCAGGAGGGAGGGGGGAAGGGGAAGGGGCGGTGGAGCGAGAGGGGCGTGAGGCTGTGGGAGAGGCTGCGGGGCGAGGTGAGGGAGGTGATCTCACCGTGCCTCACGTCCCACTTCAGCCTGCAGCGCCTGCCAACGCGGCCCTCTGCCACGAAACAAGAATTGCAGCAGCAGCAGCAAGGAGGGACCGCAGTTTCAGGTGTGGGTGGCGCTGGGGACTTTTCCAGGGCGGTGTTTCGGCCGGGGGCGTTGTTCCGGCGGTGGCTGTACAGGTGGATGCGGCGCATGGTGGAGCAGGCAGCGGGGTTCAGAGCCGGCATCTTTGCCGCCTGCACCGGCATCCTGCAGTTTGACGCGCCCACCGCTCTCTTCCTCCTCCCTCACCTCACCCTCAACGTGCTCTGCTTCGGCAGCGACGAAGCTAGAGAGGAGGTTCGGGATGAAATCCTGGCTGTGGTTACCTGGGCCTTGACGCCAGGAGGTGGAAAGAGTCAGGGGCCAGGCTCTGCTGCTGCTGCTGCCGCTGCTGCTGATAACCGTGTCACATCTGCTTCCGGTTCTCCTGGTGGCAGTGCAGCATCAAAGGGCGATGCCATGGTGCTGCAGGCGGTGTTCTCACTGCTGGACTGGGTGCACTCGTGGTTGGAGCAGGCGAGCAGCGTGGTGGAGCAGGTCAAGATGGCAGTCGTCTCTGGCAGATCCCCTCCCTCTGACGTCCTCTCCTCCCCCCTCCTCGCCTTCCTCGCCCTCCTCCCTCCCTCCCCACCACCTGCTGCAGCAGCAGCAGCAGCAGCGCCAGCGCGGGCGGCAAAGTTTGTCTGCTCTGCGGCGCAGGTACGGCACGCGGAGGATGTGTGTGGGCGGGTGCGGTGGGTGGTGGAGAGGGAGGTGAGCAAGGAGGTGCTGGCGCATGCGGCCGTGCGCTGCCAGGCATACTCCCGTGCCTACATGTACCACGAGGCCAGTGTCAGGGAGCGCTCCGGCACCCTCAACCCTGCTGCCGCTGGGGGCGGCGCCAAGCCTACGCTGCCGAGCCTGGCTGGTTCGGAGGCAGTTCCGGGGCGAGTGGACAATGGTGGTGCGATTACTGGGGATGGAGCAGATGCAAGGGAAGCAGGTAGAGGAAACGGAGGAGGTGGTGGTGGGGGTAGGGAGGAGCAGCGGCAGCGAGGGGCGTTCCGCGATGCTGATGTGTCGCTGCTGCTGGAGATCTACCGGTCACTGGAGGAGCCAGATGGCATGCGCGGATTGGTGAGCCTGCGAGGGGCAGCAGGGGCAGGGGAGGCGAGTGGCGTGAGGGCGAGGGACGAGATGGTCATGTGCGAGCAGGAGGGGCGCTGGGCGGATGCTCTCACCCTCTACGAGGACGCTCTGGGGGGCGCTGCTGCAGGGGAGGGTGGCGTGGGTGGGGGAGTGGTGGGGGGTGTGCGTGCAGAGGGTGAACATGCAGGCGACATTGGGCTGCAGGTGATGTGGCGACGAGTGGAGGTGGAACAGCTACCGCAGGGGGAGGGGGGCGAGGGAAAACGATGCGAGGAAAGGGCTACGGAAGGTGCATGCGAAGTGAATGCAGCGGAGCAGCAGCAGCAACAGGCGAGCATGCGCGTGTCGCTGCACGTGGGGCTGCTGGGGTGTCTGCTGAGCATGGGTCACCTGCACGCCACGCTCACCCATGTGGACGGGCTGCTGCTGCGCTTCCCCCTCACCGCGCCCACCTGGGCCGCCACGGGCGTGCAGGCAGCATGGCGTCTGGGCGCATGGGACCTGCTTCACGAGTACGTAGCCGCGGCCCAGCAAGACGCTCATCCCATGCCACACCATGAGGAGCAGGCGATTTCGGACGGGCTGGGTGTGGCGAGGGTGGGGGGAGCGGGGTGGCAGGAGGAGTTTCAGCTGGGGCTGGCGCGAGTGGGGCTGGCGCTGCGGTCAGCAGCGTGGGCGCAGTGCCGGGAGGAGGTGGTGCGTACACGTGCATGTGTGCTGCCAGCGCTGGCTGCTGCAGCTATGGAGTCGTATGACCGTGCCTACCCCGTGCTCGTCAACCTGCACGCCCTGCACGAGATTGAAGTATGTATACCCGTTATAAGCAGCTGCTCTGCGGGTGCAGCTGGTGGGGGCGGTCAAGGGGTCAGTGGTGCGTTGCTGGGGAGTGGCGGGGCCAGGCTGGGGAGGTTACAGGGGGGTGGGGGGAGGCCTGGAACACTGGGACGAATAGAAGACGCAGCAGCAGTAGCAGCAGGAAGAGGAGTGGACAACAGTATACAAGAGTTCAAAGCACAGGTACAAGAGAGGCTTCAGGCCTGGCCGAGCCGGCTGCATGCAACCCAACCAAGTTTCAAGGTCCGAGAGCTAGTCCTTGCGGTTCGGCGCATGCTGTGCCAAGCTGCCGGACTTGAGGGCGAGGTTGGGCGAAACTGGCTCGAGCTCGCCCGTACCTGTCGCAAGGCTGGGCACTGCCAGGCTGCCACCAGAGCTGTGCTGCAGGCTCGGGCGCTGGGAACAGCAGGTTCGGAAGTGGAGGCAGCCAAGGTGCTGTGGGCATCAGGCAGAGAGTACCAGGCCACACAGGAGCTGCAGAAGTTCTTAACCGTTGCTGAGGCGGCTTGTACAGGGGATAACAACGCAGGGCAGGACGCTGCTGGGGCAGCAGGGCGGGGAGGAGGCGGTGGAGGGGCACAGGGAGCGAGGGATTCATGGCAGGTGGCACGGGCTCTCCTGCTGCTGGCGCGGTGGTCGCACGAGACACGGCAGAAGCAGACAGCGGACGTGGTGCACCTGTACGAGCGTGCAGCACAGCTGCAGCCACAGTGGGAGAAGCCCTTCTTCTTCCTCGCACGCTACTTCGACGACCTGCTCGTTGACGCCCAGCGCCGCCAGGAGGATGACTCTGGAACTGCAGCAGCAGCAGTGGGGGGAGGGGGAGCAGGGGGAGGTAAGGGGCGCGCAGGGAATGGGGCGGGTGGTGGGAGGGGCGTGAGCAGTGCAGGCACGGGTGGGGTGGGGGGCAGCAGAGGAGCTGCGGTGCGGCTGGGCGTGGAGGAGAGTGCGTGGTGGCAGCACGTGCAGGAGGCGCTGCTGTGCTACTCCAATGCGCTGCACCGCGGTACACTCTTCCTCTCACAGGCCCTGCCGCGCCTCCTCACGCTCTGGTTCGACTTCGGGGGCCGCTTCCAGGAGAGTGCAGTGCGCGGCAACGCTGCCCTCAAGGCGGAGAGTGCACGCGTGCACAAGCTCATGGCGGACTGCATTGCGTCGCTGCCGTCCTCGCACTGGCTGGCCGCGCTGCCGCAGCTCACCTCGCGCATCTGCCACCCCAACGCCACCGTGTGTGCGCTGCTCAAGGCGCTGCTGGTGCGGCTGCTGACAGCGCACCCGCACCCCACGCTCTGGACGCTCATCGCTGTGTGCAAGTCCGCTGTGCCGGCGCGCAGGGATGCCGCCAACGAGGTGGTGTCTGGGGCCAAGGCAGCGGCGAGAGAGGAGGGCGGTGCTGCTGGCACAAGCCTCCTTGCTCTCATCTCAGAAGTAAGCGAGCTTTTAGCATTTTGAGTTTCAAGCTAACAATCCAAGCTTTCCTCTGCTGCTTCTGTGACGCTCCCGCTATCGACTCGTACTGTGACACGCCATGCCCTGCATTGAGACTCAGCCCCACATGCTGGTCAAAGTGCGGCGCAAAGGTAACCCATGTCCACCGCCCTCACTCCTCGTCCCACCCTTTCAACCCCTCCTCCAGTTCACGTCGTTTGCAGACGCCATGATCCGGCTGTGTTTCCACGGCAGCACGGGGTCATCAGCCCCGCGCATGAGGGCGCTCAGCATCTCCTCTGACTTCAGTGCGCTCAAGCGCTCCATGCCACTCGCCGTCGCCCTGCCCACTCAAGCCGTCCTTGCTGCACCCTACGCCGCTGCCAGCAGCAGTGCTGCCGCTGGGCCGGGCAGCAGTGGCGGAGGGGAGGGCGAGTGTGTGAGCATCTGTGGTATAGCAGACGAGGTGGAAGTGCTGCAGTCGCTGCAGCGCCCCAAGAAGGTCAGCAATAAAGAGCGTGGGTGCACCAGGTGTTTCCAACCTTTTCTTACCCACTCCCCTTGCCCTCCATCCCTTCACACCTTCACTCTATTTCCCCTCATCTCGCTCCAACTCCCTCCGATCGCTCTCCCCACTCACTCTCCCGTGTCGCCGTCCCTCCCGTACCCTCTGGCCACAGGTGGTGTTGCTGGGCAGTGACGGGAGGCGGTACCCGTTCCTGTGCAAGCCCAAGGACGATCTGCGCAAGGATGCGCGCATGATGGACGTCGCCGCGCTGCTCAACCGCCTGCTGCTCCGCGCCCCCGAGGGCCGCCGCCGCGCGCTGCGCCTGCGCACGTTCGCGGTGCTGCCGCTCACGGAGGACTGCGGCATGGTGGAGTGGGTGCCGCACACCCGCGGCTTCCGCCACGTCATGCAGGTGCGCGTGCTCGCATGGCGTGCAGGCTCACATGGCTTGCTGACAACTCTATGCTGCATGCCGCGCCAGCACTCTCAGGCCCAAGTCTTCTCCATCACCCTTCCTTTCCTTCCGGCTGCCCCTCATTCCCCACCCCACCACCCACCCGCCTGCACAACCCCGTCCGCACCAGGACCTGTATGCGGCGCACGGGCTGTTTGACCGGCAGAAGACGCTGGGGCAGGTGAAGCGGCTGTACGACCAGCGCGCATCCACGGGGCAGAGCGAGGCCGACCTGCTGCGCCGCCACGTGCTGCCGCTCTTCCCCCCGCTCTTCCACCGCTGGTTCCCCCGCGCCTTCCCCGACCCCTCCGCCTGGCTGGCGGCGAGGGCAGCGTTCACGCGCAGCTGTGCAGTGTGGTCCATGGTGGGGCACGTGGTGGGGCTGGGCGACCGGCACGGGGAGAACCTGCTGGTGGACGGCGCGAGTGGCGAGTGCGTGCACGTGGACTTCAGCTGCCTCTTCGACAAGGGCCTTTCCCTGCAGCAGCCCGAGCTCGTGCCCTTCCGCCTCACTCAGGTGCGTGCGCTGCTGCTGCTGCTGGGGAGGGGACGCGTGCTGTGTGTTGGTGGGGCGAAGCTGGGATGGCGGAGAGATGGTGGGTGGTGGGTGATGGGGGATGTGGTGGTGTGCAGATTACGGGCTTGCGGGAAGGATTGTACGGTGAGGCATGTGTTGGAGGGTTTGGTTGCAGTGGTGTTCAAAGCCTCTTCACTCTTGTGTGAACGCCCGATGGGAGGAGGGATGCGAGCAGGCAGGCTTCAACTGCGTGAGTGATGAGGGCGTTTTCTACTCACAGGTGGCTTGCTTCCCACCCATGTGTGCTCGCATTCTGTCATCTCACTAGCTCCTCGCCACTGCTCCCGCCTCCCCACACGCTCCTCAACCCTGTTATTTCGTATCCTTTGACAAAGTCGCCAATTTCCTTTCCTTCGTTTGATCCAATCACACCTGCCGGTTCTGTTCTCCGTCCACCCATCACCTGTGCCCTGTGCCCCTGCCCCGTGTGTGCGCCGCACCAGAACATGGTGGACGGGTTTGGCATCAGTGGGTGCGAGGGCATGTTCCGGCGCACGGCGGAGATCACACTGGCGCTGCTGCGCTGCCACCGCTCTGCCCTCATGTCCGTGCTGCAGACCTTCCTGCACGACCCCCTCGTCGAGTGGACCAAGCCCCACCGCTCCTCCTCCTCCTCAGCTGCTGCTGCCGCGGCCGCCGCCGCTGCGGCTGCTGCTGCTGGGGGAGGAGGCGTGGCTATGGGCACGGGGGAGATTCAGAATCCTTATGCACAGGTGTGTGTGCGCGTGGGAGACATGGGGTGTGCAGTGCATGAGCCCCATAGGTGCACATGTCTGTCTGCCTTCCCGCCCACCTGCCTTCTCACACATTTTCTTTCTCCCCACTTGGTCAATGCCCTCTGTTGCCGCAGAAAGCACTGTCGAACATTGACTCGCGGCTGCAGGGCGTGGTGGTGGGCGTGGCAGCAGCACCGTCGCTGCCACTGTCAGTGGAGGGGCAGGCGGACTGCCTCATTCAGCAGGCCACCTCCATTGAGAACCTCGCCCGCATGTACATATGGTGGATGCCCTGGTTCTGATTGCTGGACAATGTGTAAGCCTTTTCTATAACATACTTATCAAGTCGACAAGAGTGTTTCATAGTTGTGAAGTTTTTTTATGTGTATTTTTCTCATATATGATTTCATACAAAAAGGGCGGAGGAGGATCAAATACGATTTAACGATTCCATCTTTCTCTTATGGATATGATGAAATATATATCGAATTTACCTTTATACTCCTCTCAAGTACCCCTGAATTACCGGAAGATTAGGCTCGGCAAACAGTCACGCTTCCGAGGCTTGAGATACCCACCGAAAGCTTCGGTCTCCCTGACCTCCCAACCAAACCTGCCACCGAGGCCCTCGCCTAGCTGGGACATGCTCGTAAAGAACGCTAAATGCTCATTTGCATCACAAACTATTGAATCACATTCCTGGTTTCATTAGTTGAAGTATGTTTGATAATCCAGTAGCAATATTCTGCCTGAAAGGCCTATCACATTTCGCCCTGTTGCGCACTGAACCAGAATTTCTTCCTCGCAAACCGTGAAATAGATTGCTTGCTGCGCCTCTAGTCCCTGTTCCGAAGGCCCTCTGCTCGGCGTGCAGTCTGCAGGAGCCGCACTGCTATTTCCCCACTCGCTGCTCACAAGGATTCCGACATTACCGCCAATCACGGCGCGCCTTCCGCAAGTGCCGCATTCGCTTGTGCAGCTTTCTCCGTGTCGTCGTTGAGCGCGGAAGGGGGTGCGCGGAAGGGGGTGCGCGGAAGGCCATGCGGGCGAACGAGAGCACGTGCGTGGTTGGCCGAAAGGTAATGCGCGGAGCGGGGGGTTAGACGGCGGAAGGAATGCTGCTGCTGCTGCTGCTGCTGCTGCTGCTGCTGCTGCTGCTGCTGCTGCTGCTGCTGCTGCTGCTGCTGCTGCTGCTGCTGCTGCTGCTGCTGCTGCTGCTGCTGCTGCTGCTGCTGCTGCTGCTGCTGCTGCTGCTGCTGCTGCTGCTGCTGCTGCTGCTGCTGCTGCTGCTGCTGCTTCGCGTGCTCACCCTTCCCCCCAACCCCCCGCCTTCCAACCCTTCCACCTTCGCCCCCTCCCCCCCTGTCCCTTCCCCCCACCCCCCCAACCCCTCTTATTCTCCTCCCACTCTCCCCCTCCATGACCCGTCTCTCGCTGAACATCATTCCGCACGTCAGGTGGTGCTGGTGCCGTACCGCGCATGCCACGTGGCAAAGTACCATTCGTGGATGCAGGTGAGCAGCATGCTCGCGTGCGCCAGTGAGCCACATGCACATCACAGCCACCTCTCGCACTTCACTTCCACGCTCCTTTCGTCCCCTCTCGTCCCCTCTCGTCCCCTCTGCCCCCCATCCCCCACTCCCCCTCGTGGGCCTCGCATGCCCCTAAGCTACCCCATGTCTCTCGCCCCTCCGCTCGTTCCGCGCCCATGGCCCTCTCGCCCTCCTTCACCCCCGCAACCCCTCAACTCCCGCCCTGCTCTACACGCACCTGCCTGCGGTGGTCCGGCAGGACCCGTGGCTGCAGGAGGCGACAGGATCAGAGCCGCTGAGCCTAGAGGAGGAGTACAGCATGCAGCAGCGCTGGCGACACGACAGCGACAGTGAGATGGAGGGGGCAAGGGGGGAGGGGGGGGAGGGGGGAGGGGGAGGAGGGTGAGATGTCCGCTGCTGCTCTTTGCCTGGTTGTTTGTGCCCTTCTTGTGCACTCGATATGCTAGCGTCAGAAAATGTGTGTGTGGGTGCGTCTCTGTGTGTGCCCCTGCCCCTGCATTTGCATGCAATTTTGTTTTCCATGTGTGCATATGTGCATGTGTGCATGTGTGCATGTGTGCATGTGTGCATGTGTACATGTGTGCATGTGTGCATGTGTGCATGTGTGCATGTGTGCATGTGTGCATGTGTGCATGTGTGCATGTGTGCATGTGTGCATGTGTGCATGTGTGCATGTGTGCATGTGTGCATGTGTGCATGTGTGCATGTGTGCATGTGTGCGTGCGTGCGTGTGTGCATGTGTGCGAGCAACAGAGTGCACGTTCATAGTGCTAGATCGTGCGCGCATACCGGTCCTAGCCAACACCTCCGGGGAGCTGCCTGGACCTACCACGGGCCCACCTCCGGGTGCGCCACCTGAGACAACAGCAGCAGTGCCAGCAGCAGAAGCAGCAGCAGCGGCGGCAGTGGAAGGCGCAGCAGCAGCAGAGGGCGACGCAGTAGGCTGCCTTCGCCACTCGCCCTCCCACCTTGACGGTACGTCACACCCTCCCCACCTCTCACCAGTGCTTCTACCTCCTCTGCAGTGTCTGAATGGCTCACCTCTTACCGCTTCTCATGCCTCCCCGCTTGCACGTGGTGTGCATGCGTCCGTGTGGCGTGTGTGGTGTGGCAGGCATGTGTGGCGATGTGAACCTCTTCCTCAACGACCCCGACCACCCCACCGCTGCTGAGGTCGAGGTCATGATAGCCGCCCCCTCATGGTGAGACACTCACCGGGACACCGGCGGAGACAGAGAAAAGGAGAGGGATAGAGAGTAGACAGACGGAGATTTGTTGGGAGCGAATTGCAGAGAGACGGAAGGTTGTTGGAAGAGAATCAGAGGGCAAGAAAGAGGGGGTGAGTCAATGATCGGCAGGTTCCCCTTCCCTGCTCTTTCTCATCATCTTTCCCTTGTCCTCCTCGCTGCTTCTCCCCTTTCTGTGGCAAGGCCAGTCGGGGGCGGGGCATGGGGAGGGAGGCCCTGCAGCTGATGCTGGCGTACGCGGCGTGGCACCTGCACCTCACCACGTTCCGCGCCAAGATCAACGACTCCAATGCGCCCTCCCTCGCCCTCTTCCGCTCCCTCGTGCGTCCCACATGCCGCCTCCTCCATCCTCGCATTTGCCTTGCTGTCTGCTCAGTGCCAGTCGTTATTCCCCTCGCTACCCCTTTGGCTCTAGTGTTCTGTGCTGCCCTAGCTGCCAAGAGAACGCCCTGGCACCAGGTTGTGATGCCTTGCTGCCTTGCTCCCACCCCAATCGCACCAACCCTCCTCCCTCCCTCCGTTTCTCTCTTTGCACTCTCCCTCTCCGTGCACTCCCTTGCTCTCTCACAGTCACCCTCTCTCTCGCATCCTTTTCCACCTCCCTGCCATTCTTTCCCCCAGGGCTTTGTAGAGACAGGGCACAGCCAGGTGTTTCAGCAGGTGAGCCGTTCAGCCCAAGGCGAACTGGGAAGGAACTGTAGCAGCAGGCACACCACTATTCATGCTCTTCGATGCCATCAATCATGTACACAAGCTGTTTTCAAGGAAACATTATTCTTTACTATCCTTTGCTTAGCTTAAGTCGTTCCCCCACGTGAAGTCGCTGCGCCCATCTGGTGTTTGTCGTGCTCTTCAGCACAGCAGGGTCGCATCTGGTTGCAATCATGTGATCAAGATTTTTTTCTTCCTGGAGTATTGTAGTCGTCTTTCACCTAATTACCACATTTCACCCTCGATTACCCCTGTGCCCCACCCCAGGTTTATCTTGTAACCTTCCCTCTCTCCTCCACTCCTTCCTCCCCCTTTTCCCCCAATTCCCACCAAACCAGGAGTTCAAGGTTTGTTATCCTGATAACCTAGGGCTTTCTCACCCCATGTTCTATCTTGTCATTTCCCCCCCTTCCCTCCCCTCCTTTCCCCCCCACCCGCCTCCCCACTGCGCGCCCCCCCTCTCCCTTTCCGTACTGACATGTCATCCGCCTTGTTGAATGACTTGCAGACATCGTTTGAGCTGGCAGTTCACTCTCCATCAATGGCTGTCATTCGAGATCGCGTCATGCCCCTGCACATTCTCAACTATGCTGATTAGCTGGGCTGGCTGCAACAACCTGCCTGTTACCGATGGTAAACAATGTGATATTCATTTTGATAAGGAGAGCGGGTTACACGCATGTGGACTACAGGAACATGTTTCCATGGAGGAAACCCTAGGCCTAACACAAATGGAACACTCAGGTGGAAGCAAATGCAGTGTTGCTAAAGTTCATTGCTTCACTTATCTGTATTTGCAGTGTTCAACATATAGAGAGAGGGTTCACATTCACCTGAACTTCAGGTGAGATTCTTTTTTATGAAGTGTGTTTACTGAGGGTTTGCTTATAGAGTTCAAAACACGACGCTTGCTTGCAAAAACCTCACCCAGACTCTTATCCCACTTGCATGCATGACGGCCGGGGTTGTCGCGACACTTGTGCCTCCACGCCGCGACGGGCCGCATGCTGTCCGTCGCGTCGCGAAGCAATCAATTTCCTCTCATGTTCGATTCAGATTTTTTTTTCTGTTTCTCGCCTGCATTTATAGACGAGAATCACCGAAGTCAAATCTCGTAGTAATTACTACTCCCCTCTTGCCGACGAGAGTGTCCTGTGCCCACTCCACGCCGTTGGCCACCCAAGAGCAGAGTCGTTCCTATGGCGTCGCGTAGGGAAGAGCTGAAGACAGGCCCCCAACTTGGCCAAACACAGGAGCAGGCCGAGAAGGCGCATGAGAAGATTGTGGAGGGCGGGAAGAAGGGTGGTGAAGCACGCAAGGCTCAGATGACGCACGAGGACTACGTGGAGATGGGACGAAAGGGCGGAAAGGCGCGCGCGGAACAGGCATACGAGGGAGCGCAGTTCGCGGGGCACCCTGAAGGAGCCCTCCGGGATGTGCCCGAGAGGCCAATTCGTGACTGACGGTTCCATGAGTTAGGATTTCAATCAGCATCAGCTTTCATGACTGATAGTTTTTACCTATCATGCTGCTTTCATTTACAACGGCCTTGCTTGTAGATTGATTTGCTTGAACATATGTAGTGGTTCAATAATGTGAATAAACGCAGCTTCCTTTTTTTAGAGTGCGTGAGCTGAATGAATCATGTCTGAACACTGATAGTTAATATGTGTTGTTTACATTGTAATTCTGTGTACATAAGAACGCTGATAGATTCAGAAAGCAAATCACACAAGAAGAATCCTATGGCTGGGAGATGGACGAGCAGCCATTGTCTGATCTGAACTGCTCAGAGCTGTGATGGTGGTCGACGTGGACAGGAGGATATGACGTATAGACAGAGTGAAACAAGTGCTTGGAAGGTACGGATAGAGTGAGAGGAGCTTTAATTCCGATGGAGTGGTCAACGCTGATACTAACAGGTGCGTGAATTCTGCACCTAACATGATATCGTGATCAGCCCACAGAATGTTAGCGAGATGCGACGAAGGCTCCCACATGCGACCAGCTGGAGGCGGTGGGACGAATGTAAAGACCACGTAAAAGGAGATCGGGTGGGGAATTTCAATGGATGGCGATGTCGTCAACGGTGTCGCCGAGCGTGGTGAGGTCGATTTGCTCGATGCGAATCCCCGCTGCGTCCATCTTGCCGCACAGATGGCTCAGCTCTGTCAGGTCAACACATCGGGTGGGAAGGTGGAAACACGAGAAAGGAGAGGAGAGGGGGAAGGGAAATGGGTAACGCGAACACCAGTGAAGCAAAAATAAGGCGGAATCATACATTAGCACATCATGCGCCGTAAATCCGCGATGGCGATACGTTTTAAGCAGAGTCAAAACCGTCAACGGCGAACTCACCTGACCAATCCGCGCAGCTCACTGCAGGAACATCAGCTCCTGCTTCCTCACCGCCCTTGCCCATAGTCTCGCGGCACCGCTGCCCAATCTCCACGCCTACGCCCATGACCATGCCCATTTCAATTCCCGCGCGAATCGCTTCCTCACGACTCGAAGCCTCGGAGAACCGCCTGCGCCCACTGCCCGTGGTTCCCTCCGCTGCTGCTCGGCCGAAACAGCTGCCTGTTGCCATCGCCGCTTCGTCAGTTGGGGAGGTTGAAATTTCCGCGAACACGTCCCGTGGCGACTGATAGCACGGGAACTGCGCTACGCCTCCCACACTGACGCGTCGCGCCGCCGTTACCGCCGCGGCCGGTTCCGCTACGTCCCTCGCTGACGCGGGATTGAAGACAGCATGCGAAACGGAAAGATCGCTGTCCGAAGGAAAGAGCGCGACGGAGGTAGTACTAACCGCAGCTGCGACGGAGGTGGCAGACGAGGCGTACGATGGGAAAAGAGGCGTGAGAAATGGACCCCCGGATGAGGACTTGACGAGGCCAGTGTAGCTGGATCCGCGCGAGAAGTCGCCGATTGCCGATGCGGCGTCCATAGGTTTCAGCTCGGCTTGGCCGCAGTTCTCTTGAGGGCCATCGCTACGTTCGGAGCTGTTTCGAGTCGGGCCGTACTCGCTCGTGCGACGCGCAAGCGCACGCACGCCCTTGCCACAAGGGGACGCGGTGGTCGACGCGGGTAACGAGGACGGCGCGAGGGACATCGCGTGCGCTTTTGCATCAGGGCTTCTCACGGCGACCTCTAGTTGCACCTCCTCGGCGCAGGCGGAGCTCCTGCTGCTGCTGCGGCTGCTCCTCCTGCTGCCGCTGCTGGAACTCAAGGTGCCTGAAGGCGCGCCAGTCTCAGATGACGTGGCCGATGAGGAAGGCGTGCCCGTGACAGGGCGAGGGGACATGAGCGCGGACGCGACGGATTGCGAGGCCGCGAAGTACGTCGGAGTGGCAAAGGATGAAGCGCCGGGTGCGCCGGTTTTTGTTAACTGCGCTTGCGCCGGCTGAATTGCATCAACTATGAGGTTAAGTGTGCTGTCGTGTGTGGCCGTTTCGCCCCTTCGTTTGCCGCCTGATTTATCGCCTTCGGAAGACGCCGTTGACGCCGTCGTTTTGGTCCTGCGCACTAGCGGCACTGCTATCCGTCCTGGTGCGACACCCTGAGAGAGAGAGCGCCAGTCTTGCGGGGCGATGGGGCACGCTTCGCTGTCCAAGACTTGATGGACAGTGAGGGGGCTAGCAACCGCCGGGCTTGGCTCCTTGAGTCGGCGGGGCCCCGTCTCCTCCTTCCAGTTGACGGGAGGGATGGGGCAGAGCATCTCGTCTCGGAGCACATCTGGTCGACGCGCCACCACTACTGCCTGCCTGCTCGCCATGGCGAAGTCTCTTCGGGGTCGCGGAGCTTATTGAAGTGGCGGAGTCGACGATTAGATGAAGGGTTGAATAGAAGAGCGTTGCCGACTTGTTGATGTGGAAGAGGACGGGCTAGGTTGGGAATGAGAGTCGTGCCGGCGACGTAGTGCCAGAAGAGGGCGAGAGGCGCTGCCACAGCAGGGGATGACAGTGACGAGACGAAACCCTTTGGATAGCAGTTGTGGGCTTGTTGGAATACACCATTTGCAGTCTGTTCGAGAATATGCCATTTGCAGCGGTTACACGGCACGACCTCAAGAGACGCGGCAGTGGATCATGGCGATGATGTGCTTGGTTCAGGGATTAGAGCCACAGCGCGTCTCCGACCTCGATTGTGCATTTTCTGTTGAATAGAAAGTGGAGGTCCTTTTTTCTTCTGCTTGCGAACCCACCACTTCAAAGGGTAGAAAGGACCCGTGCGAAAGGAGAAATATTTATGTTATCGACAAAGTCCTTTTTATGTGAGTTATGGGAGATTAAAAAACAATTTACCAATTGAATCACACATAAATTCAATACGCACAAGTCAAATTTTCGAAAGACAATACACTCGTGATGATGCATTATCTAGGGAAGTGTGGTCATTGGTCAAGAAGAATACGCGTGCTGACGCCTTTCAAGAAATTCAGTTGTCCCGCACACGACACCAAGAATGCAAGTGGGTACACCCTGTTTCGCGCCACACTGACATTCGCTGTATTGACATGCCGCCTATTCTGACATCAACGCGTCCAAAACGGTCCCAGAACACAGCATATAAGCACAATTAGCCGCAATAAACCGTACGCGATAGCATTGTTTCTTTCATAAACCGTTGTGTATCGTTCTCCTGGACTGCATTTGCCCGCTACCTACCTGCGGTTCGGTTTCAAGCACCAGCCCGCAAAATCCAAGCACAAGTTCGCACTGTAGCCGGGCTCCCGACTGTCAGAAAGTTGAGAAACAGGGTGTACCATACACGACGGCAGGAGGACCAGACTTGTTGCAAATGGGTGGCGTTGTGCGGCACCTAGAGGAACAACGGAAACTGTCGGGGAGACTTACAGAGAAAACACCTTGTATCACGATGACCATCCCAGATGAGGTAGCCTGAACAAAAAGGTATTCTGCATTCAAAACATCTACAAATGGTACAATGTTCTTCTGATAGCTGAAAGGTAGGAGGGCATGCGCTTATGGTTTCGGGTTACCTTTTATTTGGTGGGAGGGTGTACATAAAATAAAGGGTTTTTCTCTCAGAACCGCCTCAATTAGACAATGTCAAGGGCAGCCGCACAGTTCACTGTTCTCAGGGAAATTATACGCGCAGTCACAATTATGGCCGTATTATCACGTTTGGTCACGGGGTTATCACGGACAGTCACAGTACAGTACTTCGCTATCACGCATGATCACAGCGCTATCACGCTTGATCACTCCTCGCCCCGCAGGGTTATCACGTTTGGTCACTCGTTGAAACGCCCGCCAAAAAGTCGAAACTCTCAAATCTACTGTAAAGATTCGGGTACTTTTATCTCGCGCGCGTTTTGTCTGTAGTGAAAAACGTGATGTGACTGTCGAAATATACTCGGTCCTTGTTAGGGACCGATGCAGTAGCAGTTTCGATTATATAATTAGTTTATGGTGTGCATTTCATCCATAAACCAAAGACATGGGTTTTGGTCGAATGATTTAAACAGTGAGAGCATTGTAATTATGTTTAGCACAGTGACAATAGCTTTAGCTGGTGGGAAACCCATACAATTGACTTATATTAGATGGAAAACCATTGAACGTTACAGGCGGGGAAATGCATATACGACACGTAATTGTGTTGGTTGATATGTGTAATTTAACTGTTTAGAATTAATCAAACCCATTTATGATGGACATGTTTAGTGTAATTGCATCTTGTAATATAAGCTTATGCCGATGTGAATAATTGATAACTGTAACCTGTATAGTTTGATACTGTCTAACACATTGTGTTGTGGTAGTTCGACATACGGTATGTCCGTTCTTCCGAATAGTTTTATTATTGGCGTTCACTTCATTCACTACATTGCTAACAAGCTAAAAACAAGTTCAGTCTCAGGCGCACAATCGATTGATAAGATATGATGTTTCTTAGAATTGATGGTTTTCTTTGGTAGTTTTGCAACATATTAGTACAGTTTATTTATTTTTAATAATAACTGCAGACAATAGTTTGCGGACTCTGCATTAAACTGCATCGGTCCCTAACAAGGACCGAGTATATTTCGACAGTCACATCACGTTTTTCACTACAGACAAAACGCGCGCGAGATAAAAGTACCCGAATCTGTACAGTAGATTTGAGAGTTTCGACTTTTTGGCGGGCGTTTCAACGAGTGACCAAACGTGATAACCCTGCGGGGCGAGGAGTGATCAAGCGTGATAGCGCTGTGATCATGCGTGATAGCGAAGTACTGTACTGTGACTGTCCGTGATAACCCCGTGACCAAACGTGATAATACGGCCATAATTGTGACTGCGCGTATAATTTCCCCTGTTCTCATGTATGTCGCGCTTGTGCACACCCTGATTGCTTTTCCGTGGGGCAAAATTTGTCGGCTTTCGAGGAATTTACCTCATCTCCAACTGCAACCCGTTGCCCCCAAATATTTTAGTTGGATGAAATACACTCGGACATAAATGCATCCACATTCATTACTGCCATCAAATGAGCAAACGGGATTTTCATATCAAGCATTTCTCCCTAAGGCTGTCACACTTTGGTTCATCAACCAGTTTTCTCAGTGTTTTCCGAAAGGCCCAACTGTACCAAAATAGTCAACGTTGGCATATCCTTCAATAAAAACGCACCGCGCTGGTTGGAAAGTCCCGCAAGCAATCAGGGCTAAGCGCGTTCTGTCCCAGCCAACAAAACCGAATGAGACCATTTGCGGCGGCGCAATGCTTGAAACAAGCAACCCCTCTGGGTTCTATGACGCGGCGCATTGAATAGACAGTTTCAAAGGACAAATCTTTCGGTGGAAATCGTGATACAGTACAGTAGAAAGACAGTGCGAGCTCGCAACGTAGGTAAGTTGTGGTTAGAATTGCGCTTCTTTCTCCGAGCAATCACGAATGGATGATGTGTGATGCCAGAAAGACGTAAATGTGGACACAGAGATGACACGTGGGTATTTCAATATCTTGTGGACCGGAGAGCTGGCTGGATATAAAAATATCGAGGGATGTCTACATGGATGCGCAGCGTTGATGCTCAAGTAATACAGAACCTCGCACAGTAACTCCAAAAGGGAAAATATGCGAATGGAAACTTTTATGGGGCTCAATATGTTATGAGTTGTATAAAGTAGAGTGCGTAGGATTCAATAACGCTGTTATGAGTTGTACCAAAAAAAGAGTGCGCAGAATGCAATAACGCGGAAGTGATTACAACTACTAAGTGAATAATGAAGCCTAGCACAGATATAGCGACGGCTAGCTAGGCCGAAGTCGCGGGACCGCGGATGGTTGAGTGCAGGTTCGGGGTTGGGGAACCTGAACGCGACGCGATAGATGTTCGGAGGGCGAGGTCAGCGGACCGAGCCTGGAACTCTGAAATTTTACAGTTGTACACTAAGAAATAAGAACGAGAATGAATGAACTAGCAGCAAGATGGGTACAACTAGGAAACCCTAATTGGGTTGTACCCTATATGGGCCACCCAACTATAGCCTACACAATAAGTAGCATATAAGTTTGACACACCCCCATAGGCAAAGTGGGGGAGAACAAGAGGTCACAAGACCGGTCAAGAAAAGCAAAGCAAGCTCAGGATGGATCACGAAGTCACCACGCATTCTGAGCACAAGCAAATGGCCACAAGGTCAGTCCACATGCAGAGTTATATAAATGAGAACAAGTAGTACAGTGATCACAACCTAGCAAGTGTAAGCATGCAGGTATATGTACATAGATCACAGTACAAGCAAAGTCAAGAAGTGAGCAAGTGAGGCCAAGTAGGCACAAGGCCTAGAACAGTACAGAAACGCTGATGATCACAAGGCTGAAGTGTCTTGGTGAAGATATCAGCAGTGTTGGCCCAAGAGGCTACGTAAACAAGACGAAGCTGACCACACTGCTGCAACTCTCGAGCAAGGAAGTAGCGCAGAGCGATGTGCTTCGTTCTGTGCTCCAGTCTGTGCTCCTGACACAAGGCAATCATGGCCATGTTGTCGACGTACAGAACTGGGGGAGAACGAGGCGGCTCTCCCAAGTCGGTCAGCAGGTAGGTGAGCCAGCGTAACTCCTGTGCAGCCATGGCCCCAGCTTAGATCTCAGCCTCACA